ACAAGATATTAGATCGGTCATTTCCAGGGGAAGACTGTAGTTTGTTTTAAATATACATATATAAGTATATAACCTTAAAATGTAAATTAAAAGTCTTATAAAATATATACAAATATAAAAGATATAATGTCTACATTTATTTTCAAAATGAATTTAACTAATAGACTTAATCCTTAGAGGTTAAAATAAATATTGATTATGATAAACAGTTTTATATTACAATATAATAAAAAAATTGTGATTTAAAAAAAAAAAATTATATGGCGTCCTAATATCCACCTAAACCGCGTAATCGTCTGCCTAAACTACATAAACGCCCATCTAGACCGCATAAACAGTGGCATTTTTAAGAACCGCATAAATCACCTAATGGCCTAAAATCGGAGCGTCCGACATCCGCGTAGAGCCTGGGCGCCGCCTAGGCACCCGCCTAACCCACGTTTTAGAACACTGATTCTTAACCAACAATATGACTTTACTGTTAATTACTTAACACAAATTCAACAATTTTGTTTATTCCTATTCGAAGAGTTTTGGCTTTCGACCTATTGTTATGTTGGGATAAATTCTACATTTACCATTTAAATAAAAACCTATCCTATTTTAGGTGCACTATTTTTAGAAAGCGTAACTAAAATATAGGAAACAAAGACAAGAAGAATTAAGAGAAAATTTAGGTGAGCCACAAAACATGATTACTGGAAGAGAAAAAAAGAGTTCCGAGAATAAAGATGGGTCTCTAGTTAGGGTTTTAAATGTAAAACAATAACGATTTGTGTCAAGTCTGTATTTGTTGTGTACTTATTTTTTCGTAGGTTTCTTGTAATGCACGCTTCTTCTTTTCTCTCCCTCCCTCATAAGTCTTTCTCTTAAAAGTGTCTTGCATGACCTGCTAAGAGAAAGCTTTAGAGAAAGGAGAGAAGGAAGAAGTTGATTCTTCCATCAGATATATATCTTCATATATCTATCTTTTATTATATTTTTGTTTTCTAGATTATATCTCTTTTGAAAAGAAAAAATGACGTCTGATATCTCGTGGGATGAAATCAAGAAAGAAAATGTGGATCTTGTAAGAGATTTACACACTTTATTTGTTTATTATATATTCCTGATGTATTTGACCAAAGACCGAACTCCTAGATCCTTATTTTTTTTAATGAAAAATTTCTAATGTTAAAATCACTATGGGATCATTATAGGAGCGGATCCCTGTGGAAGAAGTGTTTGAGCAGTTGAAATGCTCAAAAGAAGGTTTGTCAAGCGATGAAGGGAAGAAGAGGCTTGAGATATTCGGACCAAACAAGCTTGAAGAGAAATCAGAAGACAAGTTTTTGAAATTTTTGGGGTTTATGTGGAATCCTCTCTCATGGGTTATGGAGTCAGCTGCAATTATGGCTATTGTTTTAGCCAATGGAGGAGGAAAACCGCCAGATTGGCAAGATTTCATCGGTATTATGGTGTTGCTTGTCATCAACTCCACCATTAGCTTCATCGAGGAGAATAATGCTGGCAATGCCGCTGCTGCTCTCATGGCAAATCTTGCCCCCAAAACTAAGGTATAACAATACAATTCTTCTATACATTGGTTTTTTTTTTGTTCTCTTTGAAGGGAGACTCATTAATTGTAAGCGCTGAAGGTGTTGAGGGATGGAAAATGGGGAGAGCAAGAGGCTTCAATCCTGGTTCCAGGTGATCTAATAAGCATCAAATTGGGTGACATCGTTCCTGCTGATGCTCGTCTCCTCGAGGGAGATCCTCTTAAAATTGACCAATCTGCTCTCACCGGTGAATCTCTTCCAGTCACCAAACACCCTGGAGATGAAGTATTCTCAGGTTCAACATGCAAACAAGGCGAGATTGAGGCTGTTGTGATTGCCACGGGTGTACACACTTTCTTTGGTAAGGCTGCTCATCTTGTCGACAGTACCAACAACGTTGGCCACTTCCAAAAGGTAAGAAATTAATATTTAATTACAAACGAAAAACATCTGGAGGATACCTACCTAAATTACGTTCTCAAAGTCAATTCTTATCTGGATTTTGTTCAGGTTCTGACGGCAATTGGTAACTTCTGTATATGCTCAATTGGCTTGGGGATGTTGATTGAGATAGTAATTATGTATCCTATTCAACACCGCTCATATAGAGATGGTATTGATAATCTATTGGTACTTCTCATCGGAGGAATCCCAATCGCCATGCCAACTGTTTTATCAGTGACAATGGCTATTGGGTCACATAGGCTCTCTCAACAGGGTGCAATCACCAAAAGAATGACTGCGATTGAAGAAATGGCTGGGATGGACGTTCTTTGCAGTGATAAGACTGGAACTCTAACCCTTAACAAGCTCTCTGTCGACAAGTCATTGATTGAAGTATTCCCAAGGAACATGGATACTGATGCAGTTGTATTGATGGCTGCAAGAGCCTCTAGAATCGAAAACCAAGACGCCATTGATGCTTCCATTGTTGGGATGTTGGGTGACCCGAAAGAGGCAAGAGAAGGAATCACAGAGGTTCATTTCTTACCCTTTAACCCTGTTGATAAGCGTACAGCCATCACATACATCGATGAAAACGGAGACTGGCATCGGTGTAGCAAAGGAGCTCCTGAGCAGGTAAAGAAACTAAAAATGTTGATTTATATATTATTAATCGAAAACTTTTTTATATATGCTTCTCTTTTGCCTGATACTACTGTACATTGTGTTTTTTTTGTTTGTTGCTAGATCATTGAGCTCTGCAAACTCCAAGGAGAGACAAAAAGAAAAGCCCATGAAGTTATCGATGGTTTTGCTGAACGTGGGCTTCGCTCTCTCGGGGTGTCTCGACAGGTATGTCTTTGTTATAGATTCTCTACACATAAAATATCTTTACAAGTCATATAAAGCATTCCATTTCGATTCAAATGCAGAGTGTACCTGAGAAGAGCAAGGAGAGTGATGGTAGTCCATGGGAATTTGTTGGTCTGCTGCCACTATTTGACCCACCAAGACATGACAGTGCAGAAACGATCAGAAGAGCCCTTGAGCTTGGTGTCAATGTAAAGATGATTACTGGTGATCAACTTGCCATTGGTATCGAGACTGGTCGTAGGCTTGGAATGGGAACAAACATGTACCCATCCACTTCACTCCTTGGCAATTCTAAGGACGATTCATTAGTTGGCATCCCTATCGATGAGCTCATTGAGAAAGCTGATGGATTTGCTGGAGTTTTCCCTGGTATCTTATTATATATAATTTCAAATGTTTTTAAATTATGCTTACAAACAATATGCATTATTATGGAACAAGACTAACACGAACCTGTTCTGCTAGATTCCTGGTTAAATTCAGTTATACAACATTGAAAACATTCTTCTTTTTCATTTGGTTAACACAGAGCACAAGTATGAGATCGTAAAGAAACTACAAGAGAGGAAGCACATTTGTGGGATGACTGGAGATGGTGTAAACGATGCTCCAGCTTTAAAGAAAGCAGATATTGGAATTGCTGTGGCTGATGCGACTGATGCGGCGAGAAGCGCCTCAGACATTGTTTTAACGGAACCAGGATTAAGCGTGATAGTGAGTGCCGTGCTGACAAGTCGAGCAATCTTTCAAAGGATGAAAAACTACACAATCTACGCTGTTTCCATCACTATTCGTATTGTTTTGGGATTCATGCTCGTAGCTTTGATATGGAGATTTGATTTTTCACCTTTCATGGTTTTGATTATCGCAATCCTAAACGATGGAACCATCATGACAATCTCTAAGGATAGGGTCAAACCTTCTCCGGTGCCTGATTCTTGGAAACTCAATGAAATTTTTGCCACCGGCGTTGTTCTAGGAACCTACATGGCTCTTACCACAGTGCTCTTTTTCTGGCTTGCTCATGATACTACCTTCTTTAGCGTAAGTTACAATATAATCTCACAACAACGTTAATAGTATTATGTTACTAACTTTATTTTCTATATAAAATTTTAGAAAACATTTGGGGTAAGGTCCATTCATGGCAAAGAAAAGGAGCTTATGGCAGCTTTGTACCTTCAAGTGAGTATCATAAGTCAAGCACTCATCTTTGTCACAAGATCAAGGAGTTGGTCATTCGTTGAGCGACCTGGGTTTTTGCTCATCATAGCCTTTATTTTGGCACAATTGGTCAGTAAATTCTTTTCTTATTCTGCATATTACATACTATCAACTTTGATTTGTATTGTTGTCTTAGTATCTGACACATGAGTCGGCTTTATTCAACAAACAAGGTGGCTACATTGATCGCCGTATATGCAAACTGGGGATTTGCAAGGATCCTTGGTTGCGGATGGGGATGGGCTGGAGTTATATGGTTATACAGTATCATTACCTACACTCCTCTTGACATTCTCAAGTTCATCATCCGTTACTCTCTCACTGGCAAGGCTTGGGATAATATGATTCAACAAAAAGTGAGAAACATTGAAAAACAAAATTAAGAAAATATTACTTAAATCCATGTTATTTGGAAAATTGTTAACTGTTTAATTTTTTTTTTTAGACTGCTTTCACAACAAAGAAAGATTATGGTAAAGGAGAAAGGGAGGCTCAGTGGGCATTAGCTCAACGTACACTTCATGGCCTTCCACCACCAGAGGCAATGTTCCATGACAAGAACCATGAGCTCTCTGAAATAGCAGAGCAGGCCAAGAGGCGTGCCGAGGTGGCTAGGTAAACCAAATTCATTCTTTTTTTTATCAAATATCTTACAAAATAAAATGAATTGGACCAACCAAACTTTGTCTGGTTTATAGGTTGAGAGAGCTTCACACTCTAAAGGGCCACGTTGAATCTGTAGTGAAGCTCAAGGGGCTCGACATTGATACCATTCAACAACACTACACTGTTTAACACTTCTAGGGTTGTTACTATTATCCATGAGCCTAATAAACAAGATGACCTATGTATTTTCCTTAAATTGTTTTAAAACTATATGTAACGAAAAAGAGAGATATAAAATGTTTTTCGGTTGGATGAAAAAATACCACCTAGTTATTTATAAAAAGGAAAATTATTCTTAACTACACTAAATATTGACTAATATGTTGCAAACTATCTCAAGTATAAAAATGTGCTCTGAACAACATAAACTATTATGTAATATATGGTGATATACACCAAATATAATTTCAAAAAAAAAAAAGACATACACCAAATACATGTTAAAAACTACAAATTGAATATTTTTGATAAATATTTATCATTTTAGGGGTCAATTTGTAGTTATTTATATTAAAATGAATTAAAAAATCCAAAAAGATTTAAAACTTACAAAATTTAACAAACCAAAATAAAAGGAGCAATTACAAAAATGCCACTTTTTATGTGCACATTTGCAACAATGCCACTTAGGGGTCTCCATTTACAAAAATGCCACTAATTATAGATTTATAAAGCATATATCTTAAAATTCTAAACCCTAAAAAATGTTTGGGACAATTACAAAAATACCACTTTTTGTGTGTACATTTGCAAATATGCCACTTAGGGATGTCCATTTACAAAACACACAGTTTTAGCGTCGGCAAAATTCGATGCTAAATCGACGCTAAACTCCTTTAGCATCGACTTAGCGTCGAATAACAATTTGACGTTAATCTGTCGACGCTAAACAGACTTCGACGCTAATTCGATGGGATATATCGATGCTAATTCGATGCTAATTCGACGCTAAATTAGCGTCGAATTAGCATCGACATAAGACGGATCCGATGCTAAATCGACGCTACTTAAGCATTGGAAAAATTGACGCTAAAACGATGCTATATTTCGATGCTAATTCGATGCTACTTTAGCATCGATTTAGCATCGGATCCGTCATAGGTCGATGCTAAATCGACGCTAAATTAGCGTCGATTTAGCATCAAATTATAATATGTTTTTTTTAAAAAAAAATATTTGTAAATGAAAATATTTTTAATAAATTTCAAAATTTTTAAAAAATTAAAAAATTTTATATTTAAATGCGAAAATAAAAACATAAATTGTTTAAAAACACTGAAAATATAAACAAAAATTACAATTTTAAGGTTCGTCTCTTAAATTAATGTTGTCTCTATATTCATTCACCATCGCTTCGGCTTCGTCGTCGTACTGCGGTTGACCTGTACCTGGAGGTGGCTGTGCAGGACGCGGTATCTGGGAGAGGGCAGCAGCTAAAGCCGGGTTATCCACTGCAATAATGTCCATCAGATTGGTCA